CCCACACAGCCCCACCCAATTTAATCACGTGATCGCCATTGCCGGACCAATAGCGCTGCAAATCGTGTCCGGCTGCCGGACCAATATCCACTTCCTTAACTAAAAAGGTATAATACCTGAACAGTAAGCAAAGATGACCAAGATGTTTACAGTGGTATTTGAAGAAGACAGTCAGTACTAAAGTTCTGGTGGTACAAAACTATTCTTCGAACAAAGCTTGCTTCGTTGTGGCTAAGTGACGAAAATGGAGTTAACACGGCCGATTATTGTGTGAATCTACGAAGTGTGTTTAGCAAATTATATCTTTACAAAGAAAGAAGGTAATGCTTTGATTTTTACCATGCAAACAGATATTGTGATGATCTATATCTAGTGCAAAAATCATTGGAAAATCATGTTTAGTTTTCAAAATATAACTGTCCGAATTTTGATTAGTCCGATAATTGATTAATTACTCTAGTTTTCCAGAAACAAAATGGCATGAGCTTGGACTGAGACTTGGATTAAGGAAGAATACGCTGCAAGGGGGTGTCACTTTCATCAAGCCTGTAGTTACACTTGCAACCGCGATCAAATCAAAATCAAGACATCAAAGGGACAATCAGATTGCAATCAAGGGATCAAGACAGTCTGTAGCAGGCATCAAGATATGTATATTTTCCGTATATTTTTGATTATGCAGATCTATGAATTTTTAATTAGCTGTGCATGCACGTGAGCTCATCAAAATCAAGCATCAAGGGAAATCAAGCCTGTAGATCAAGGTATCAAAGGTCTTTCTATGCAGATCAAAGCTTTTGATCGCGGTCGTATGGCACGCCAAGTGTAACAAAAACATTGAGGGGCCAGCCTGAAATGCGGATCAACGCGGAACGCTCGTGGATTTGTATCGAAGTACAGATCAACGCCCAAAGTTTATGGATTTGTCCGCAATAATGATATCTATGCATTAGGAGCGCATTTGAAAGTACATATAAGCTCTATTCGAGTCCTTAACAAGCATCATCACTAAAGGCAGGAATACAAATAATGCTTCAAGGAAACTTAGATCGAGGAAAAATTGTTATTTTGAATTTTGTCAGGTCTCAACTAAATTTTGCAATGCAAGAAGGAAAGTATGATTGTTATGGAACAGAGCGTGGAGAGTTTTTAAGCGTTTTTCGCCACATTTGGAAGCTGTCACTAAGTAAGAAATGTGATTCTCATCACTGCCCCTCTCCAGTGGCAAACACATGTCACGTAAGTTTTGCCTTACATCCAACAATAGACCAATCTTTAAAAGATCAGTTCAGTCATGAATTTCCCACTGTGGGTCATTGCACTGGATATTGTGGAGCTGAATTTCATCATGAGCCTCCACAAAATGCTCCATGTGGTGTCAATGACAGATTATGTGTAGAGTCAAACACTAGACTATCATGCCTGGAATGCAGAGGGAACCCTACTGTGACAAGTGCTTACTTCCTAAGCAAAACACCATGGATAATACCGATCAGTATTGAACAGTTTAAGATAAATTTAGATTTGATGTCTCAGCTTCCAAGGACAGTAACCATCTATTCAAGATGCTATAAACTAGGTGGATACACTATATACGATAAGGAATATCACCATTTCACAGCAGTAATTATATGGAGAGGACAGGAATTTTATTATGATGGAATGAATGACCAAGACTCTAGACTACAACCATTATGTGCACGTCAGCACTTAATGGGAAAAGAAGGCTCACATGCAATCTATTTACTATCTTATTGACTTAGAGTGGAACATGACTATTACTGATCCATTTAAATATTAATTTTAAAAAATGCCGTAAAATTGTACCTCAGCCAAGTAGTATGGAAAGATGGTCTGTACTGTTAAAAGCTTTTCGAGCGGAGCTTTTCTACGACCACAACCATTGCCACACAACACGACTTACGCCCACTTATGTCACATGACGTCACACAACCCACCCACCCACAGACACGCCCATCTCCAACTCCTGCTCCTGGTTTTATCCATCAACTCCTGCTCCTACTCCTGCTCCTGGTTTTAGCTGCTCCCAATCCAAGGAGAGCACAATATCTAACTATTATGTACCAGTGCAAGCTACCTGACTATAATAATAATTTACGCATCTCATGTAATCCTGAAAAGCTATGCTGATAAAAATTTTCACATTTTTATTACCTTGCCCTCTGTCTGGCCTTTGACCATTTCTTGATAATGTGATATATATTGTATCATGTACCATGTATGAACATTACGAAAATGGTTCCTGATAGGCATTTTTGGATAACAATTGAAATGAGCTAATTTAGTCATTGATGAGTGAATTGTACAATCCACAAAATTTATTATCCATGAAGTATAAGTCCTACATGGTAATAGTCATAATATTCCTTTCATTATTGTAGTGCTCAATTTTTTGACAACTACAGACATATTATTGGTTCTTTATTGCAAAATTGAAGATAGCATTTTTAACATGAAAGTCAAGTTGTCCCAAGACTTGTGATTTTAATGTTTAGACTATTATGTGATGACATTTGCTCTATTTCATGGTAGCATCCATTGATACCCAGTCTTTGATTATTGTGAAATAAAAAAGTCATTATTAATAATAAATAGGAAGTCATTATTACTTATTTGTAGTGTTTTAAAGACTACATGTAGATTTTCCAATTTTGTTTAATTTTAGTGAATGATTTTGAAGAGATGGAATGGGAGCTAGTAACACAGACTGGTGATGTACCTCTTGGCAGAGAAGGACATTCACTGAAGTATGTAATGTGATTTGTTCATTAATTTTTAAAGAATATACAATTTTACATGTACATGCATACTTAGCAAACTACCTGTATATCTTAGATATTGCATTTTTTGTATACATTATCTAGAGTATGTGTATTATCAAGAGTACACTTACATGTATAAATGAATTGTAGTTTTTCTTAAAATAATTGTTAATTTGTCTGGCTATAAGTCATTAATTAGAATCATCTCAAAGTTTCCCTAATTCAAACTTGTATATCAGAAAGGTTCTAAATAAAAATTGATAATTTTTATAAATTTTATGCAAATCATGTAGCCTCACGTCTTTGGCCAAAATTTAAATAATTTTGAAATGCTATGATTACATTTACATGTATTGTTCCAAAATTTAGGCAAAGAGTAATTTATTATCTTTGTACCTTTCACACAAGGAATTATATAAATAATTTTAAAATGCTTATGGATTTTTTTAGTTTTGGTTCACACTAGTATCAACTTTGATTACATATAATTAATTTTAATTTCGGATAATTACCTAGTGTTGTTGGTGACGAGCTATTTTTGTTGGGTGGAGTTGAATCTGATAATGCTGCTACTTGTGCCGAAGGTCTGTACGTTTTCAATACAGGTATGTACATACAATGTATAATGCTAATTGTTGTATTGTCAATGAACAATGTCTCTATGCAGACACTCACAATTGGGTAAGAAGAGAAATGACTGGGGATATACCTAAAGCACAGAGCTCAAAATATGTTGTGACTAGTGATGGAAAAAGAATAGTAACTTTTGGTGGTGTTTTGAATGGGCAGGCATGTAATGACACTTTTGTGATGGATATAGGTATCAAGTAATGTATATTCATTGATCCAAATTTAATAAATGCACTGTTAAATAGATGAATTTTTGCTTTTTAAAATTGTTTTGCACATTGCATGGTATTCATAGCCACTACAGTATACATGTATCATTGTTGTGTGATTTTAAATTAAATCGTTGTGGATTTTATGATGCATAGTCACTGATATGGTAATGAATCCAAATAATTGGGTATTGAAATATAAATAAATGCCATAATATCTAACCAAACACCCACCATTTCACTACACATACATGTACACGTAATTTCTGTTTATACATGTAAATAGAAACATTGGAGTGGAAGTGCATTGCAACAAGTGACACGAAGCCGTCATCTCACTGTGATTATGGTTGTGTTGTTATGGACAATAAGATGTATGTTTTTGGAGGAAGTGGTGGTGAATCACTGTGGTTTAATGATTTGAGCTATTTGGATCTTGGTAAGAATTTGTTTCTATTTGTTGTACTTATCATCTTTATACAATTTAGATACATATAACTCGACATTAGTTGAGTCGATATCACTGTCCCCACACCCAAGGGACTATCCTGCACTTGTTGCCATAAGTAATCAGGTAAAGTTATCATTATGAAATGATTTTGTTTCAACTCTCAGTGTATGTATGTAACATGTATCATGTACTGTAGCTTAATTAATACAAACATCAAATGAATGTGGGAATAGTGTTTTTTAATAGTTTATTGATCTTTGCACAAAATATGTACAATACTATAGCAATTTAATGCTTAACTTCTTGTGGCCTAAAAACCCTGCACTGTGGTTTGCAGCAACCACTAAAAGTGCTGTTCATTTATATAGCATCCATTACATTATAATCCAGTTGTAAATGAAATTAGCTTCAAATAACCGCAAAGTTTTAACTTTATAAGTGCATGATACATGTACATGTAGGTGTTACTTGATTACTTCAACCATTGATATGGAGATGCTTGAGATCATTACCACTAGAGTATTTTAATTTAATTACAGAAAGGGCACAGATCAAATGTGCACCATCTATCAAGCATATTAGTAATTCTAATAATCATTAGTGTGTATCTTAATTATTCACATGCAGGTAGAGAAGCTCCTAATTGTTTTTGGTGGATTTTCCTGCTTGAATGAAGATATTTGCTAACTTTGCTTAAATGACACACATTTTTTATGTAAGACATCAAAAATTATTCAATATCCCTATAAAAATGTTTTACAATGAAAGGATGTCAGTTATCAAATTTAAGTTGGAACCAGTTTGTGTCATCTGATGGGATTAAGCCTAATGGAAGATATGGACATACAGCATTTGTTCATGAGAATAGAGTATTTAATGTACATGTAGAAGCATGTATTTATTATTGGTTGTGTTATTGATAGCTATATGTACAAGGTGGACAGAACAGTGAGGTATTGTTCAATGATTTGTGGATGGTAGATATCATTCTTCCTGAAGTGAAGTGAGGGTGTCTTTTGAAATTTATGTTTTACTAATTATTTTATAGCTTCTCTCCTACTGTTGCTCCTAAACGAGACTATGATACAGCTTTACCAATACCAGCTCCTAGAAAGAAAACTACCTCCTCCAACTCCTACAGTACCTTTCCTTTACTTCGGTTGCATTATTTGTAATTCCCTTTCTCTTTGCAGGAAATAAATGAGAGAAGCTTTGAAGATCTTCACTCTCAATATCTTACACAAATTAATGAAATGTTTGACACGCTAAGCGAGAAATTTAGAGAACTTGATGAGTAAGAAATTACTGTAAAGTTTAACTTGTTGTACAAATTTACATTGTACATGTACTTGTATTATCATAATTATGATATTAAAAATAATGCATATGTATTCAATACATGCATTTTGTTTTCACTCTTCATGCATTAACAGTACATGTTAGTTTACAGTTTTAAATAGACTGGTAAAAGTTAAATAAACAACCTTATATTATTGTTGTTTGTTTATGTGTTATGTATAGAATGTCAGCTAAGTTAGATGCTGAAAGGAAGCAACTTGATGAGGAAAGGGAAGAACTGCATTCTACCTATGACAGACAACAAGAGGTTTTAATAATGATTGTATGTGTGATGCCTACTATACAAAACTATAGGAATTGAAACAACTTCATGATCGTCATCAACAAAGCAACGAAGAATGGATTCAATCATTGAAGCAGGAGAATGATGCAGAAAGAAAAGCAATTGCTGAAGAGAAAGTAATAATAAACTTATACATTATGCCCATGTACATGTAACTATTATTAATATGCATATAGGCTAGATTAGAACAAGAGAAAAAGGAGCTTGAAAGTGAAAAGGAAAATTTTAATGAGAAGAGTAACAAATTAGATGCAATTATGAAACAAGTCCAGGGACTGAAGTGAACAGTACATTTTTATAGTAATTATAGTTTTTATTTCCCAAGTGTGAAAATTTTGCTCACGTTTTATGTAGAGACATCATAATGATATGTAATTCACTGAGGTCTAGCTGTCATAAAGAGTCCCCTCTTCAATCCAACCTATTTTCCATACAAACATTCAACTGTGATGGTGATACTATTCTTCATTATATGAGATCCTCAATTGTCTGTCTGAGGCATTAACTCTTCCACTGTCTAATACCATTTATAGTTTTCTTTTTATTACTATTTTCCCGTCATGCTGTGTCGAATCATTTAGATGTACATGTACATGTATAAGTGTTATGTACACTGTAGTTCAGCAACATCATTAAGGAAAGGAGAGAGAAAAGATAAGGAAGGAGAGAGGAAAGTACATACAGATAAAGCTTGGATTGTCTAAACAGTAGTACCTACTGTACATATAAGCACAGACTAGACATTAACTTTGTTGCAAGAATGTTTTGTATTGATACAGCAATATGTTATGACTAATAACAAGGTGAAACACATCATTATTGGTACACATTAATTATAATGTCATACACACAAAAATGACATCACAACGTTGTACTGACTGGATAGACTCTAATAACACTAGTTTGAGACACAAAGAATATTTGAACATGACTTAACTAAATATCCCAGTTTTATATGTCAGATGAACAAGTAACAAAAACAGACTATAATAATTAACACTCTGTCCCATTATGAGTCATAATAATACGGTAATAATAATAATAATAATAATTACATTCTAATGACTGGATTATTTCTGCTTCTAGTAACCTTTGGGTAGGCAAAACATACTTCTAGACACATGGAGAGAACCTATGAAACATACAATAATTTAATGAATGACCATGCAGAAAAATACATGTACATATACATGGCATGCATTAATTTTATAAAAATACACGCAGTACATGTAGTATCCATTTCAACTGTAATTGGCTGACCTCTCTTGTTTTATGTGGTAGGATCATTCCATCATCAACCAGATAGGATGAATGAGAGATCAATTGCTCACCATACCTTACCAAAGTGAATCATAAATTTACACAAAATATATATTTCGTTACTTTTGCTTTAATTGTTCGTAATTTTCATCACTTTTCTGCATAAAGTGTAATGAATTTTCAATAATACAAAAAATAGCCTACTTCTATTTTCATTGCTTTCATG